TATGTAGAAAAGTAGTATTTGAGTGTGGCTTTCATCTGTATATAATAAAATTTGTTTCCTATACTTTGTTTATTTTTTTATTCCAAAACGTAATCTACTTTCTGGATAGCCCTCGTATAATATGCTTACGTTTCTTCTTTAGAAAATCCGGTGGAATTTCTCTTATGTTCTTTCTCACAGTTCCTACTATAGTTATTTTCTTCCTTAGTAAATCCTGAGATAGCTGGTATCCCATATGCCAATTGTGTACGGTCAAATTCTGTCCAGAATTGTACAATGGTTCCATCAAATGCTTTACAATAGCACTTGCATTATTATCAAACTGAAACGGCCCCTTTGGCTGCTGGCCGGCATATATTTTCCATGTACAAAACACTCTGGAATCAACCAGTGCAAATATTTTTATGCCATATTTGGCAGGTTTTTTTGGCATATATTGCCTAAATGAACATATGAACATCGTCCCCCTAAATGGTTCTAATTTTTCATCAATTGTTACATATTCACCTACAGTGTAGGCTTTCTGACAGTTTTCAATGAATTTTTCAAAAAACTGTCTTATGGGAGCGAGTTTATCCTTATCTCTTCTAATCGGATATTGTCAAACCGAAGCTGTCTTAGTAGGAAAAGGACTCACTTGCAGGACGTTGTTTTGTGGAAAATATCCTTTCCAGTTCCATCTGTTGCCCACAGATCTTTTACATTGACATGTAAGGATTTGTGAACAACACATGTATACAAAGTCCCAAAAGTGCTTTGATTTCACATTCATCCATTTTCTTTGCATCGCGCTCACATACAAAATGCTCCTGAATGGAATCAATGTAAATATTTGTACATTGAACTAATATTTCTCTCATATCTTTGTCAATGAGCAGAGACCAGGAATCCAATGGTGTGGATGCATCTTTCGAATAACCAGTATTTCCTGGAATTTTGAAGATAATGTTTTTAGAACTAGTCCTAACATTCGTTCGGAATTTGTTTTTCTTCCATATCAGGCCATTTTTACCAACATAATTTTCATCATTTGATTGATTTTTTGATTCACTCTCTAATTCAGTGTCTGTATCACTGTCTGTTGATGAATTATGATTGCTGTTGTGTTCTTCATCTATTAATTCTTCCTCCTCTTTGCTAAACAATTCATCATCTGTTGAAATGGTTTCTAACATATTTCTCAACCTTTCCATTTCTTTATCGTAGCTTAGATGCCTCGCCATGCTGACTACCTAAGGAAGTGAGGGTGAAAATCTGAGAGACGCGAGAAGGCGTGCGGATGTCACATACCCAAACGGTACAATTCTTAGAAAAGTATTCAAAGAATCACTCCACGGACATCCCAGCTTGAAGAATGTGACCTTGAGTTCAGCTACAAAAGGTTTTGCCCATTTCCAGGAAAAAGGTTTGGAGATAAGTGACAAAGAATATACCCGGCGCACATGCTTGCAGTTTAATAGCAGGTGAATTTGGAGGCCAAGACATGACTTGAAAGTCACTGGAATGTTCCTCGAACCACTCCCTGATTATTCAACCCTTGTGACATGGTGCATTATCCTGTTAGTAAAAGCCACTCCCCACCGGAAATATTGTTGTTATGAATGGGCGAACCTGGTCTGCAACGATTTTCACGTAGTACACAGACATCAGGGATTGTTATATCGTGATTATGGGTCTTAATGTGCTCCATGAAAACTTTGCCTGCATCTTAATACTCCAGTCACTGGCTTATCACTGTCCAACTGTGCATCCAGGAGTCAGGGTTTTGTTTAGAAATCAGCGTATTAGCACATACCTGTCAATGTGATGGACCTGAGAATGTGATTTGTCAAACCATGCAACTTTCTTCCAATGTTTCTTTTCCCATTGCAGATGCAGCTGGCGAAGATGTGTCGTCAGTGCAGGGACGTGCTTCGGCCTGCAGCTGTGTAGGCCTATACACAGCAATGTATGCTGCAGTGTGTTGAGAAACATTGTTTGGGTAGTTCTGAAACGTAGCTGTAGCTCGGGGTGATTTTGGCTGTTGTAATTTTTTTTAGTCACAGCAAAAAATGATTATCAATGTCCGTTCTCTGGATTCAATGCGCCGTCGACAATACGATGATGGTTGCCGACTTGTCGTTTCTCCATCCACCACTTTTGATAATTGCTCACAACAATTGCACTTGAACAGCCCACTAAATCCACTGTTTCTAATATTGATGTTCCCATTCGCCAAGCCATAATGATTTGACCTTTATTGAAGCCTCATAAATCAGCTGCTTACCATTATGTTGCTAATCGTGCTATGTTTGGAAAGACAATACATACGCTTTTCACATACTCCAACATCAGCCATGCACACACAGTGATTTTGTCCCTGGACAAACCCATTGTTTCTACATAGAAACATCATTGATTTTACACTACTAATATTTTATATCTCTGATGCCAACCTGGCAAATCATTATTATATTTTGCTTTCATCATCATATGCTTATCAATACATGACAACTTGAGTAATGACACATGCAGCGATGCCTAAATATTTATATATATATATATATATATATATATATAGTAACTGAATAGTAAAACGTATGGTAACCTTTTTTGTTGACATTATACTTGGCGATGATTACAGATTTAAGTTAAATGTGCTAAAGAAAGTTGACGAGAGAAAATTCAACAAAAATTTCTTTCAATCTGCTAAAAACAGATTTTTTTAATGATACTCATAGACCAAAAGATTACATTTAGTGCTATTTAAATTAAGAATAACTGATTTGTAGTTCACATTAACCCAAAATGCCGCCAGAGCTCGTGTGGTTGCACCGGGTGGCAGAATTTGGAAAGGACAGAATTTCTGGAATTTAGAGAAGCATGGAGCAGCAAAATTAAGGAATGACAAAATTTTTAAATTTCGGGAAAGCACAGAGACCCAAAATTTAGGGGCGGCAAAAACTCAGAACTTAGTTAGGCACTTGGTAGCAGAATTTAGGACTTCCAGAGTCTCCTTCATGTGGGAAGATATCGAGTCTCTTCCCTCTATAAGTCCTAAGTATATGTGTGAATTTATTTATTGATGTTTTGGATAAGCCTTAAGCATGTGCAAAAAAAGATGCAAGTATAATAACTAACTAAATACAATTTGGGCTTCAGTGCGCAATAGATGCAAGACACACTTTAGCAAAACAACTTGTCTTTTGTCGCCAATCTCATGATACATAGCCAATAATGTATAGTAGACGTTATTAAGCTAGGCTAAAATTATATTTTACCGATTCCATGGAATTAATATAACAGATTGCCCTGTTCCTTAATTTTCTGATCTAATCCAGCTTATTATTTTTTGCAGGCTATTATGATTATGGCAATTTGATGAAAATTAAAAGTTTTAACTTTCTGATTTTGTCTAAAAGAGTTTCTGATTCTGGACCTGCAAAAGGATTTACAAAGCGAAAGCATGTCTTGATGTCCGTTAAACAAAAAGTGGAATGTGGAATTGCTACAAAAAATAGATAAAGTATATTTGTCTCAAAATTCTGCGAGGAGTATGGCATTGTAAAGTCAACTGTATATGACACAAGGAAGCAGAAAAAGGGTAGTGCATGCTCCGAAATGCAAATATAAAATAGCATTTTTAACACTTTACCGACCGATCGGCTTTTTATCGCTAACGCCTACTGACCAATAGTCTATTGATTGGTTTTTTTTTCATCAATGCCTATGGACCGATTGCCTATTAATCGGCCTTCTTTTTTTTGCCAATGCCTACCGACCGACCAATAGCCTATTAATCGACTTTTTTCGTGAACGCCTACCGACCGATTGTCTATTAATTGCTTTTTCCTCGGGGCTACCTAAAAAAAGCCTTATCAATCGGTAGTCATCACGATAAACAATTGCCATTTGCTATATCATCTGCATTTTATTATTAGTATTGAGGTACATTGCTCACTTGCGTTAAGTGCATTGATTCGTAAACTCCCTCATCTTCAAACCGTTAAAAAAAAAAAAAAAAAAAAAAAAAAAAAAACCTTTCACAATGAGCGAAAAAATGGTACTGGAGAGTTCCATTTAGACAATTTATCAGATTGTCCTGACAGTTATTCAGAACAGGGTGAATCTGCAGCTGAGTTGCCAGTTGGACATGCGTATGCTGTTGAACCGTTAGTGGTCAGTAAAGTGTTAAAATTCACATTATATTTCTTGAATAAGGAAGATTGTTCAAGAATTTTGAAATATTTTAGCACAAAAGCAGGATGGTGGGAGGATGTGTCTCCAGATAATTTAAGAAATGGTTAGCAAAATTTATGGTTGGCTACCATACTTTATGATGAAGATGATAGCCCTATATTTGAAGGTTTTCCGATATCGCAAACCAAAGGTGAGGTTATTGAAAACGAAAAATTTTCGTTTGACAAGTTAGTTGTAAGTCTCGACACAGCAAATTATAGGACTTGAACAAAATGGAACTTTGTAACTGAACAAGAAATTATTTCTGTATATAGAATTAAAGAGAAAGTATTAGCACAAATTCAAAGCAACCTAAACAGCTTACATTGAAAGAAATGTTTAGTTAAGTAAACAACTGTTACAGATTACTAATTTTGTATTTTGGAGTTTTGTATAAATAAACATTTTGTAATACTTGTGTCTACCACAATTATTGCATCAGACTGTAATTGCGTATCAAATATTCCATGTAATATTCACTTCTGGCCCGATCACCGTACGCGGGCTATGCCCGTGAAAGTTAGGTTTGGCCCGACCATCGTACGCACGCTATGCCCACCATTGTAGATTAAGGGGTTAAGTAGCCAAGCAACCATTTTTGGCCAGTGAGTTGATGACTTTTCTTGAAGGTGCAGATAATCAGAAAGTGCCAATAAATTTTCAATTAAAAAGATTTTCATTTTTTTGAAAAAAATATCTTGCTTAAATGTTTATAGTGTATTTTTACTGTGCACATGAAAGTTTGTTTCTTCTTCTTCTTTTTTTTTTTTTTTTTCTTCTAGTGGTAAACATATAAAATGTTTGATGTATTCCAAAATGTTTTGTTTGGTAAGAAGAAATCCAATGCAGAATCTGAAAAGGAAAGATCAGATACAGATGATTTTGTACTGATAAGTCAATCATCTAATGAGCAAGTTTCAGTGAAAGAATCCGAGTCTACTCTTCATGAGCCACAGTTTCCTGTAAGTATTGAACAGTTAATAAGTTCTTCTAATTAAGATTAAATAGCTTTCCACCCGTTGTTCCTGTATATAGAAGGGTAGGGCCAGCGCTAGCCATTTTGCCACCTGGTACAATTTCTGCTACCCAGTGTTGCATTAAATTTTAAAAAAATTTGCAACCCTAAATCATGCTGCTCAGTGCTTCTTTGAATTCAAAAAACGTGCACCATCTAAAATCTGCTGCCTGGTGTGGCCGCACTGGCTGCACCTTTTCTGGCTCTGTGTAAAGACAGTACTGTAAAAAGTACTGCGTAAAGGCTCTGTGTACTTTCTACTCTTCAATTTTCCACCCAGCCCTCCCACAAAGTTGCCAGTAATTGGTGATTAATTTTTTGCCAACCTCAAATGTGAAAAACAGTAGCCACATTAAAAAATGTCAGCACACTGAAAATTATATAAAACAGCAACAAAGTAACAAACTTAAAAACAGAAAAAACATCCATAATGAAACACCTTCCCTACCCCCCCCACTCTTCCCCCATGTACACAATGGCTTCTTTTAATTTAAAAAAAAAAAATCAGAGAATTCCACAAATTCAAAAAAAGCTGTTTGTTCGAGATTTGCAAGAACTACCCGTTCTCCTTTCTCCTAATAAACTTAAAATAAAATAACTTTAAATCTAATATTCTAAAGCATAATTATTTATTTCCAAATCCATAGATCTACAAAAAACTACAACAAAGCCACTCTTATAGTGATAAACTATGTAAAGAAAAATAACAACTGAGGCTGGGTTCTAACAATATTCCCACCTTTTGATTGATGACATATACTTAATCAATCAAAACAAAAATATAATAAAAACTACTGCCCACACAAATATTAAGGCTAAATAATAAACAAAAGAAAAAATTAAGTTCTTAAATTTCTACTCTAAAATAACTCAAGTAGTGTTCAGGTTAGAAATCTAGATGGAATTTTGATTTGTCGTCCACTTCTAGTCACGACAGTCTTAATGTCCTTTGATAAATCTACAGCTAAATTATTCTTTGGTAATTTTGAGACTAAACTGTCTTCACCCTGCGTCTCAGTTTCATTTGCCTCATCTGACTCCAAAGATGAAGGTATTTCGAGAGGGAATATTCTCTGGATTGGTCGAACTAATTCTCCAGACATGGTTTTGACACGAACTACTCGAATGTTGCCGTCTTTTCCGGGATATAGTTCAATTACTTTTGCTAGAGGCCACAACATCTTGCGTTTGTCTTCACGTTCGATAAGAACTATATCCCCGATTTTTATCTGTTGAGAAATCCGCACTGTAGGTGGACGTTGCACTAGCAGGTCAAGATATTCATTTCTAAATCTCTTTCTCAAGAGCTCTCGTAAATTTTGTAAATGTCTCAGTCTGTTGTTGAAATCAACTTTATCAAGATGATAGGAACTCCAAAAGCTGGAATTTCACCTAAAAACAAGGATGGTGTCAAAGGGATGAGATCATCTGAGTCCTCTGATACATAAGTGAGTGGTCTGGTATTCACAGTTGCTTCGCAGTCGCACAGCACACTCATCAATTCTTCATAATTCAGACATGACTGGCCTAGGACTCGACGCAAAAGCTTCTTAATCATTTGAACAAGTCGTTCCCAAAAGCCACCCCACCATGGTGCTGCGGGTGGACTGAACTTCCAATCGATCTTGTTTGTGGCGGCTTCTATCTCAATGGTATTCCAATTAATCGATCTCAAGAGATTATTGGATCCAACAAAATTGCTTCCCTTATCGCTATAAATTATCGATGGCCTCCCTCTATGGGCAATAAATCTTCTAAGACCAAGTAAAAATCCTTGAGTTGAAAGGGACAAAATCAGTTCCAAATTTACCGTCCTGAAAACAGCACATGTGAAAAGTAAAATCCAAGCTTTTCTTTTATCCTTCAAAATTAATGGGCCTGCTAAATCAACGCCGACAATGTAAAGTTAAGTGGAATGTCTTTTCTAAAAATTTCAAGCAAAAATGTGTTTAAAGGATCTATTCAACAGTTATCTATCGGTAAAAAAGAAACTTATCTTAAAGTGATGAATTTTAAAAAGCATGTGCAGTAATTATTAAGATAAAAACAGGATGAATTATCAAACTACATAATACAAGAAAATCACCTGGTTAATAAATAGCTTTTGATGTTGAAGGGGGGATTTTTTTTTCCCCTGGTGTTCTGTGATGTTACAAGAATAAATGCTTTGATTAAGGATGGATTCAGCAATTTCACTGCTTTATTAGTATCTATTTTAGGACATCAAAATCAAAGCATGTTATAATCAAGGTTTTAATTCAGCTGGAGCCCATTTCTGGTACATCTCAACTTTTAAATAATATTGTAATCCCAGCCAGAGCACACCAAAGCTCCAAATAAAACAAGCTCTACTTTATTGTTCAGTTAAATAGCAATACTAACAGGAAATTCTGTTATTAATACCACATTTCATTTAGCATTTAGTGAAACTAATATTCTTATTAGATACTAAATGAATGTCTCAGTTTTCCTGAGAAGAGCAAAATGTGAAAACTTGAATTACTGTGAAAATAATCCTCCATGCAAAAATGTGATACTCTCAAAAAGAAATCCCCCCCCTGTCTGATTATCTACCTCTCACCAAAAAGTCAAGAAAAAGTATTGTATATGCTTGTTTAATGTCCACACCCCAACTGTACAGATAAAATTTATGTAACAAAAAGTGACCCGCACAATGTAAACTAAAGAATTTCTAAAACCAAAGAATTTTCTAACTAAAGAACCCTATCCCCTTAGTTCTAATTTAACTAAGAACTAAAGAAAACTAAAGAACCCCAAAACTAAAGAATTTCTTACTTTAAAATATATATTTTTTAACATTGCCTTTTTCCCTTCAGTCAATAAACGTATTTAAAGAAAGAATATGCATTTGTTTTATCTTTGGTTGGTGCCAAGATGGAAAGCAGAAGCTTTCCTTGCATTCGGGTGCAGCTGTTATTCAGACATAACATCGGCGCAAGCAATCCACTCAGCAGACGTGATAATAAATGAAGGCAGTCCAAACATGTTTTCACCAGACTGGCTTTCAGGAAAAACTGTTTTGTAATGAAATTACATTCCCCGCCTTCCTCCTTGGAGCATTCGCATATTTCAAGCTCTCTCTTTTCATTCATAGGTTCGGGTAGTCAGCAAGTAGCGTACTTGAAATAGGAAAATACAGCGGCTTTTAAACGGAAAGTTGTAGAATTTGTGCAAGAAAATGGAAAAAGAGCAGCAACAAGAGTATATAAGGTGGACAAAAACTGTGTGCGCAATTGGAGCAAACAGCGTGGTCAGCTGGTGGCAATGAACAAAACAAGATATGTGTTTCGTGGCTCAAAATATAAGTTTCCGAACTTACAAAAAGAAGTACAGTACAAAGTCCGTAATCCAAACTCTTCGGGACTTCGACGATTCCGGATTATAGATCATCAATTTAAATCTGGTAAAATGGCATGCAGAAATTATACTATTAAAAATATGAAACCATAATTTATGAAATAAAAAGCAATTATGATCTAAAGGGTATCAAATTTTCCCCAAAAAATGTTTAATATTTATTTGTTTACTTCATTAAACATTTCTTTCAGTGCGCGCATGTGTAAAGCATAAGCGCGTAATGTATGTGCATTCTTTGTGCACATGCGTAAAGCATAAGCGCGTAATGTATGTGCATTCTTTGTGCACATGCGTAAAGTTTGTGGCTTTGAGGTCTGGATTATAGATCACTCCGGATAATGGATGTCCAGATTATGGACTTTATACTGTAGTTACATATGTTCATGATATGCGTGCTCAAGGGTACGCAGTAACACGGAAAATATGCCAAATAAGAGCACTTGCTGCGGCATTCTGACATCACAATTCAAGGCGAGTGAAGGCTGGTTGTGGCGAATCATGAAACGAAATGGATTTTCGTTTCACCGGCATACGGCAATATGTCAGGAAAATGTCTGGTGACTATGAAGATAAGTTGATGTCCTGATATGGAAAAAGGAACAAAAGTACTGATGTTATGTGTGTGTTGAAAATTGTTCGTGGTAAGTTTTTAAAAACTGCTTAGAATATGAATTGTAATATTTAATATGTACATCTTGTGTTTGTTAAGAATTAGTGTGTGCTGATGCAAATGGAAATGACTTGCAAGGTCGAAATAAAGGTGATATAAAAAAATGTTTACTGATTAATCTATTTGCACTCATATACTGAGTATTGTTCACAATGCTTTTTTTTTTTTCCCTTGTGGTAGCTTGAAATTAGAAATAATACCTTCTCTACTGTGTGGCTGCCACTCCAGTGCCTGCACTGTCATCTTGTGTATTTTTATGCTACTGTTTGCAGCAGAAAGATTTTACATTCGCACATGCAACCATAACAATCAAAATTTTTGTATAGTGTATCAGAACAAATTTTTCTTAAAAATAATGTGTGCAAGATATTAAAAGAACCAACGTTTATTTAATTTGTGTAAATGTAAATACTAAAATTGCAAGTGTTGGTTAATTTGTGCCTTTATATTGTGCTCCTGTGTAAACTAATACATGCTGAGGGTTGATAACGTAAACAGGGTAATTTATATTGGTACTTTTACGTTTTGCCGACTCGGGCAATAAAGTTGTCAATAATGGTATAACTGATGCCAAACAGAATATTTTCACTGGTAACCTTTTACACCTCATCTTCAAAACAAGTCGCAACCATTTCATATCAGATTGATTGTTTCTTTCAATGCTGGCATACAAATACATAGAATTTTTACTCAGATAGTTCATTTTTATGCCCTAAGGCCATTCACAGTAATTAAGTTCAATTGGGATGCAATCACACCGCTCACCCAAAGGCGAAAATATAGAAAAGGGAAAGTCAAGGGTTAAATTCATCGAATGCATTAGCGAAGTACAGCACTGCTGTTTTACATAATTTCTGAGTAAGCTATTCGTACGAATTGAAATAATTCCTGCATTTAAA